GAGTGGGAAGGCCCATGACCTGGGACGTTTACATGTCCTCCTGGGGCGCCGTCGGGCTGGGCCGAGAACCACAGGGGACATTTCCTTAGAAAAGGACAAACAACTACCCAAAGTCTGGCACGCCGTGCACCCCTGCGGCAAGCGGCAGGACGCGGCAGATCGCGAAGACGCCTACGGCGAACCACCGCCGCCCCCCTGCCCTTTGAAGGAGCGTGCGTGGCCGAACGCTGCGGCCAGAGCTCGACCGTGCAAGCGGACCATGTGTTCTCCCCGAGCCGTTGTGCAGAGGCACTTCGGGGAACAGGTGGGGCAGACCGAAGACGACAGGAGGAGAGGGAAGACAGGAGGAGGAGGGTGAGGAGGAGGAGGAGGAGCAAGAGGAGGAGCAGGAGGAGGAGGAGGAGGAGGAGGAGGAGGAGGAGGAGGAGGAGGAGGAGGAGGAGGAGGAGGAGGAGGAGGGGCCGGGGCTGGGACTGGGGCCGGGCTTGGGGTTGGGGCCAGAGCTGGGGCCTGGGTGTGGGCCGGAGCCTGAGCTCGGGCCTCGGTGGGGGCGGGGGCCGGGGGCCGGGGGCCGAAGTCGGGGCCAGGGCCGGGACCAGGGCCACGGGCAGGGGCCGGGGCCGGGGCAGGTTCATGTCGTGCTGTTTCTTTTGTTTCGAATCCTGACGCCAAGAAACGACACAAGGTGCGGCCTGGGGCAGACATTGCCCAAGTCACCACGCCCCCGAGTGCTATTTTCGCGGCATACGAGCCGTCGTGGTCTTCGTCGTCCTCGTCCCCAGTAGTCGACGTCATCGTTGCCGTCTTCGTTGACGTCAACGTCGTCGCCGTCCTCGTCTCGTCGTTGTCGTCTCCATGACCGTCCCAACTTGCATTGCAATGGCATTGCGTTGCAATCGCATTGCATTGCGCTGCAATGCACTGCAATAACAGGGCATTGTGTTGCCATCGCATTGCGTCCGCGTAGCTAACGTCACGTCGACTGTACCACGTAGATTGCGACACACAGAGTGGATCCCACAACTTGCACCACATGGTTACACCACTTCGCATGAGGTTGGATGGAGGTTGGTTGGTTGGTTGGTTGGTCGGTCGGTGGTTGGTTGGTTGGTTGGTTGGTTGGTTGGTTGGTTGGTTGGTTGGTTGGTCGGTCGGTCGGTTGGTTGGTTGGTTGGTTGGTGTGTGTGTGTGTGTGTGGGTGGTTGGTGGTGGTGGTGGGGGAGGGGGGAAGAGAAGAGGGTGAGAAAGGTGGGAGGCGTGTGTGTGTGTGTGTGTGTGTGTGTGTGCCTAGGTGGGTGGGGTGGGATGGATGGGTGGGTGGCCGAAAAGCATGGAGCCAAGGAATGGAGTGGGGTGGCGTGGCGTGGGTCGGGGTGAGGTGAAGTGGGGGATGGGGATGCGGGTGGTTTCTCTGTGTGTGTATGTGTGTGTGCGCGCGCGAATCCGCCCCGCTACACCAGTGGAGGTGCGGGCACAGGCCATTGGGCATGTTCATCGTCCGCCCAACTGAGCCCAACCCGACCTCCCCTACGCAGGGCCTGTCGCCCTTTAGCGAATGGATGAGCGCCTTCCTGGCCATGCAATGGAATGCCACGTGGTTCTGTGAGCGCTGCCTGGTCGACCTCTGATTCTAAGCAGGGACGGCGCCAAGGTATACCCAGACCCCCCGCCTAAGCGGCAATGGAACCCCGCGCCGCCACTCCCCGCCGGGAGCCCGCGCGAGATATCTTCCAGCTCGCAGACGCACAGGACCAGAGAAAATGGACGAGGCGCTCGCAGAAGAACAGGACCCCCTTGGAGCTTGGAAGGAGGCCCAGGCCAGCGATCCAGCCCAGACCAACAGCGGCCAACCGCTCGGGAAAGCAGGAGAGCGCAGATCGCCATGCAGTCGGCGTGGCGAGGGCAAGGCCTCGCCAAGCCCTCCGACCGCGACCACGCCGCCGGCTCAGGAGGAGCCCGTCCCTGCGCGCGCGGCCATCCCCCCCGTCCAAGGGTAAGGTCGCGTGAAGGCCGAGGGGGCAAGCCCCAGGTCCGCGACCGGACCTCCTCTCGAGGACCCGACCGCAGGAGCCAGCCGGCACACTTCCCGGGAGAACGGGGCCGACGGTCTGGAGGCGACTACCTCAACCGCAGGGGCCAGGACCTACCAACGCGCGCCAAGTAACCTGCTGCGTGATCCGCCAGCAGGAGGAGCAGGGGAGAACATGAGAACGAACAGGGCGGCCGCCGATCAGAGGACGCCGACCGCACCCCACCGCCAGACCGAGGATGGCAACGGAGCCACACGCCATGACCCAGGCAGCAGGCATTAGACCGCACCAGGCCCGGCGACCCCGCAGACAGGAGTCCCCGATCAAGGTGGAACGACCGCGACCCAGCGCCTGGCGACAAAACCGTCGCCTCCCCCCCGACCGACCATGCCGATGCCGAAGGGATCCTCCTCGACCTTCCCGACATGCCGCCCCCGCCCTGTCCCAGCCTCGCCGATCGGGAAGTGGCT